TGGAAAAGAACAGCATGTGTAGCCAGGTGTCCTCTGGGGATTGGGGTAGGACTGGGGAGGAGGATGAGAGTAATGAGTCAAAATAATTATTATGAAACAAAAATATTGCATAGTTTGGGGCAAAGGAAATTATAGACATCACACACACAAAAAAAAACAGCCCAAGGAGGAAAAAGCTATAAATGCTTAAAATATATTAATTTGGAATCACATTTTAATCATTTTAGAGGTTTTATATGCTCATCACTCCCACTTTAACCTCATTCTTGAACTAACGATAATACTTAAGGTAGGAAAAAAATAGATCTCTTTCTCTATTCTCCCAAATTTTCACTTTGGGTAAATATCCTGTTTGCAAATTAACCTCAGGTGTGTTGGACAGAATTTTGTTGTAAGTAAGATTTTTGTGTTGATCATTCTTCCAACGAAATAGGTCTTCATCACTTCTATCCTTAAAGCTCTAGCTAGGGTCTCTAAGTTTTCTCATTATCCAATCAGAATGTAGAATCAAAGTGATACTGATAGTCATAGGATTTTGAAACTAGAAAGGTGCATTTTGTCTAATTCATCCTTAATTTGCAGCAGGCAGAATGGAGGCTCAGAAATAAATAACAAAGTGAAAAAAGGTAATTGGCAGAACAAGCACAGAAACACTGGTTTCTTATCACCAAATTCATTGATTGAGATCTTTCCAATCTTTCCATCTATTCAGTAAACTAGCACTTCCTAAATGCCAGGCACTGTAAGGCTTTGGGTTCCTGGATGAGCAATAAGTTTTTTGCAAGAAAACATTCTCTTATTCACTAGAACAGGGCAGAGTACTAAAAGATGTCTCAATTAAGCAAATTATTATTCATAACCTCTCAAAGTAGAATAGAAATTATTAAAAATGTCAAATTGTCATATGAGAACAAGTCCTTGACATGCTTATTCTTTTACCCTTCTGCATCAAGAGTTTTAAAAATGGTATTTCAATGGAGAAGGCTTTGGAATGACAGATTTGGAGCTTAAATCTAGACAGAGACTTACTAACTTTCCACCTAGGAAAAGTTGTTGAACTTCACTTTCTAGCAGCAAAATGTGACCAAAGTCACCAGCCCAATGCCAGGGACTCATAGAACTTTGTGTGTTGTCTGAAATGTTTTCCTTTAGCTGCATTGTCCGAGGTTAGGAGGTTGCAGGAGGTTGGGCTGAGAAGGCCCCTGGGCTCACAGGTCTCACACCCCAGTACCCCCAACTCTTCTCTACTTCCCCACAGCTCTCAGGGCCCTTTGCAAACATGAACTCATACAGAACAGTGAACTCTGCCCTACATCCAAGGACGAAACCTGAACTTGGGAGTTGGAGGTTTCAGTGAGCACTATATCACCAGCCACTCCTACTCAGTCTCTTTGCTTGGTTCTTCCCACTTCTAATCTCTGAATGCTGTAATGTCCCAGGGCTCAGTCTCTGTAGTGTTTTTCTTTTCTATCTACGTTACCCTTGATCATCTCATCCAGCCTTCTGATTTTAAATGCCGTCTAGACATAATTCTGATGTATATATTATTTCTAGAGTTGGAAATCTCAACTCCTATTCAACGACCTAATTAAGATCTCCTCTTGGTTGTCTCATAGTCAATTCAAAATTAGTAGATCCAGATAGAGCTCCTGATTTTCCTCCCCAAACTTCTTCCTGTTGTGGTCCTCAACTAACTAACATGACGACTCCATTTGTTTTATTCAATTGCTAAGGTAAAAACTTTGTTCTTGATTTCTTTTTCTTACATCCAACATTCACTCTATCAGGAATCTTGCTGGTTCTATCTTCAAAATATGTTGAAATCTATTTTTTAACCACTTTCGCCACTACGAGTCTGATTCAGCCCCCATCATCTCCTGCCCAGATGATGCAATAGCAGCAGTGTCAGTTTTGGTGCTCACTCTGTTTCTGTATTTTCCCTCCTACTGTCTATTTTCAAAACAGCGACCAGAGTGATCAGAGTAAAATGGAAATCAGACATTTCTCTTCTTCCTAAAGTTCTCTACTGGTTTCCTATCTCACTCAGCGAAAGCCAGAGTTCTTAGGATGGCCCAAAATGGTTAATAGGGTCTGTCCCATATCAATTCTTTAATTTTATCTGCTGTTATTCTCCTACCCAGTCTCTGCTTCAGCCACACTGGCCACTTAATTTTTTCTTTTTTTTAAACACATCATGGAAACTTCTGTCTCAGGGCTTTTGCCCTTGCCGCTCCTTCTGCCTGAAATGGTTTTCCCTCAGAGGTTTACCCAGCTCACTTCTTTCCTACCTTCTGAATGAGGAATTCCCTGACCCTCCTATCTGAAGTTGCAAAGCTCCCTCCAATGCCAGCACCCTCCAATTCCTTTTCTAATTTTATTTTTCTCTCTATATTATCTGCCTACCTATCTATCTATCTATCATCTATCTATTATCTACCTACCTATCTTTCTATCTCTATTTATCTGTTGTCTATATTTCCCCAATAAAATAAGAGCAATGTTTTCCCCCTTGTTTTCCATTTTATCCATTTCTGTATCCCTAGTGCCTAGAGCTAAATCCTGTTAGTTAGGAGGTGTTTCGTAAGTATTTGTGTGATAAATGAGTGGTGTTATTCCTAATAGTTGTACAAAATATTTTTTTATAAAAAGGTGTTTTGCTTCATTTTAAGTTTATTTCTTTTTAAAGAAATTTTAATTCTTTAGATAATAGTGAACTTTAGGTTCAAGGATCAAGTGGGAAGTTATGTCAAAACCACCCGCATGCACTCCACAAACAGAAAAATCATAATTACGGTGAATTTTGCAAATTTTAAAAATAAAACCATTCAACTCAAGCAGAGAGGGAGGGAGAGAGAGAGAGAAAGAGAGAGAGAGAGAGAGAGGAGATTCCATGGGCTAGAACAGAGAAAGTCCATCAGAGTAGGGGCTAAAGTGTCATCCCCAATGGCACAGAGGACCAAATTAGGAAAAATGGTGCTGGGGTTTCAGTGCCTGTTCAGGAGGTGGAGTTAAATGTGTGTTGGCCAAGATGGAGGACCACAGTGGGGCCACCAGTGGAAGGCTGGATGTGGGTAGAGGTGAGGGGTTGAATTAGTTCTAATCAATGTAGAAGAAGAATAACCCATGAAGGGCTGGAGCCTGGCCCATATCACTTGCATGGCGCTGCAAATTGCACAACTCAGGTGGAGCAGGAGCCTCCAGGTTCTAATTTAAGTGCAGGTTTAGAGCCCTGAAACCCAGAGAGCCAGACTGTGCACATCAAACTCATGATCATGCTTGCCTCTAGGAAGGGTGAGGAAGGGAGGTGGCCAAAGAAGACTTTATCCACAGTATTTATTGAAAGGAAAAATACAGATGTGAAGAAATTGTTATCAATTTTCAATTATTGTGAAAACGTGGATTTTTTCTGCCATTCTATTTTTCTGTAATTATTTTAATGTCATAATTATTTTAAAAGGAAAAAATTTAAGGAAATAGGATAGTCTTCTAAAACCAAGAGTATCTAGCCTTTCTGTGATATTTCTAGTGGCTTAGGTCTGCTTCCTATATACTTTAATTGGTAGTATCAGGAGTGATTTTAAAAAGCAAATATCTATTAATTTATATTTTTTCCTGTTTTGTTTAAGTGATAATACATGACAATCTGTTAAAAAGTACTTTCTTTGGATAAAAGTAAGAAAACGATATCTGATTTTTTCCTTTTGTTACCTTGATCAATTGTGATAGCACTGACTTCCATAGAACTCAAACCACAGGACCATTCCCATCCTATGGCAATTTATAGTGAAGGAGAATTAAAGTCAAAAGAGGCAGTTAAATATCTTTGGATATTTACATATAATTGTTAGATAGACTTTATATTGAGTGTATAGTTGTATGTGTTGGTATATTGCTTTATTATTTATTTATTTTTCGAATTCCATTTTTATTTTAGATTTAGGGGATACATGTGCAGGTTGTTACAAGGGTATTTTGGGTAATGCTGAAGTTTAAGTTTCTATAGACCCTGTCACCTAGATAGCGAACATAAGATACAATAGAAAGTTTTTCAGCCCTTGCCCCACTCTCTCCCTGCCTCCTTTTGGAATCCCCAGTGGTGTCTATTGTTCCCTTGTTTATGTCTGTGTGAACCCAAGATATAGCTCCCATTTATAAGTGAGAACATGCAATATTTGCTTTTCTGTTTCTGCATTAGTTTGCTTAGGATAATGACTTCCAGCTGCGTCCATGCAGCTACAAAGGACATAATTTTGTTCTTAAAATTATAATTTAAAACATTTTCAAAAGAAATAATCCAAGATGTTTTCTTGCTTAGTGAAAACTGCTCAGGTATGCATCTGGAATATTTATTCACTGTAAGGCTTCCTGAAAATTTCTACTGGATATAATCATGTACTATTAATATGGTTTGGATGTCCCCTCCAAATCTCATGTGGAGATGTAATCCTCCTTTGTGGGTGGAGAGGGAGCCTGGTGGGAGGTGTTTGGGTCTTCAGAGTGCATCCCTTGTGCCTTGGTTGTTTAAAAGTCTCATGAGATCTGGTTGTTTAAAAGTCTGTGGTATCTCTCTCCACTGCCTTGCTCCTGCTTTTGCCATGTGAACTGCCTGCTCCCACTTTCCCTTCCACCATGAGTGAAAACTTCCTGAGGCTTCCCCAGAAGCAGATGCTGGCACCGTCTTAGGAAGGGTGCAGCCTGCAGAACCATCAGCCATTAAGCGTTTTTTCTTATCCAGTCTCAGGCATTTCTTTATAACAATGCAGAGCAGCCTAATACAACTATTAATCCATATTCATATCTAAACCAACAGCAATACTTTGCTGATAGCAAATGGGTATTTAGGCTAACACTTCCAAAAGAAAAAAAAAAACTTACGTTTTCCTCAAGGCCAATTTGGAATAAGAGAGGCTTTGTTATCCTGCATCATATATCATGTTTTCAGATATGAGATTTCGCTTTTGAAATTTCATCTTAAAAGAAAATTCTCTGCTTTTCAAAAATAAATGTATTTTCTTTGGAGAAATAATCTCCACTCAAAATGTAATCTTTAAAAAAAATGCTTTTGAATCACACTCATGCATCCCCTGTTCACTTTTTGTTTTGTCTCACTGCATATTTGAAAGCTGCTAAACAGATCTTACTCAAATTTTCCAAAACATTTCTTTATTGGAAAAAGACTAGGAATCAGAAATGTAAAATTATGAACCCAAGAATGCTCTTCCAAACTTTAAGAATTTGATGAATCTAGATATTTAAAATAAAACTCTTTCTCTTGTATGTACTTAATATTTCCATTCTAATTACTTGGCATTTCACGTAGATGCACATATAGTCAAATTTTTATAATCATAATCTACTTGGATTTTACATCCAATCTTGGCAACTATGGTCTGGGATGAAGCCAACTCTGTTCCTAACAGAGCGATTAGCCATTCCTCCATTACGTATTACATTTAGAGTATGCGGATATGTTAATGTCTGCAGAACGTTTTAAGATATGCAGAGTAAAAGATCTTTATTAATTCCAGATTTGTGACCAAAGATGAGGATCTTTTAAATGGAAATGGTGAATGGGAGGCCAAGGAAGTAGAAGTAGAAGAGGCATTTTAACAAAGGAGGGATGAGGAAGGTTATGAGAAGTAGAAATATAAAGATGAAGATATAAAAAGAGATCTGCATCTAACATAATCCCAGAAATAACATTCCAGGAGTTCTAGCAATAACTGATAATGTTTTAACATTCATATTCTCATCAATCATAAGTGTGCTTGGAAGTCATGGGAGACACTAATAATATAGTACTTATGATGGGCTTAGGTTATGTAACATTCTCTTGGAATTTCAAAGGGTGAGAATAGCTTTCATGAAGTGAGAGTGAGGCATGTATGCTTGTCTTCAGATCATCACAACTGAGAATAATAATTATTTTAATAAAAGGGCTTAATTAGAAAGGAGCCATTTGAGAGGCATTAAGTCACTTTGATTAATATAATTACCTTTCTCATGGAATTAATCAAAGTTTAACTTTAACATATAATCCCAGATCGCTTGCTAGAATTTTATCTGTCTGAAAACCAAGTTTTGGAACTCACTTTCCCTATAGTTTCATTATCCTGGTGTTCCCAAACTTAGCTAATCATCTGGAACAACTGTGGAGCTTTGACCACTACCCCAGACCACTAACTCAGAATCCCTCAGATAAAGACTGGGGATTTAGCTTGCTTGATTAACCCTCTAGATTAGAAGTCTTCAACTTTTTTGGCACCAGGGACCTGTTTCATGGAAGGCAATTTTTCCAGGATGGGGCAGGGGAAGGGGGATGGTTTCGAGATGAAACTTCTACCTCATATTATCAGGCATGAGTTAGATTCTCATAAGGAGCATGCAACCTTGATCCCTTGCATGTGCAGTTCACAATAGGGTTAGTGGTCTTGTGGGAATCTAATGCCACTGCTGATCTGACCAGAGGTGGAGCTCAGGCGGTAATGATCACTCACCTGCCACTCACCTTCTCCTGTACCGCCCAGTTCCTAATAGGCCATGGACTGGTACAGGTCCACAGCCCTGGGGTTAGGGAGCTCTGCTGTAGGTGTTTGGGCCCTTGCATAATGGGGAGAGGTTCAAATATCAAAAATTTCAGCACTTTGAGTAATTCGTTAATCTTTGGTATATAACATAACAATAAAACCTATCATTTATTGTTGTATACTATGTGCCAGAGGATAACATGCATTTTCTCTATCCACACATTAATGCTTCCAGGCATCATTATTCCCATTTTACAGATCAGAAGTTAAACAGCAGAGCAAGTCTCTGGTTTGCCTAAGGTTTTACAGTTAGTGAAAGGCAGAGCTGGGATTCCAGCACAATTCAGCCTAACTCTGGAGCTTGTGAGCCTCTCAGAGTGGCACTGATAGGATGTTATTATCCTTCATACAATGGTCTGCCCGTGTATATGATGTTTGGTGTTGGCATGTTTAATAAGAAGAGTTTTATATTTATTTCTGGAAAGTCCCAATAATTTGCAGCTGGTGGGAATTCTGAGTTGTGAGATGGTAACAGGATTTTAAGCCTGGTTGTCTCATAATCCTTTAGCTGATAAATGCTTTGAGATTTGCATTTTGATAATGACAAGGACAAAAATATGGAAAATACAAAATATATATTTTCTCTTCATATGGGAGAAGAAATATCTATTTTTATGAACTTAGTAGTAAACGAAATGTCCCAATCTTAAGCTTTTCTCCCCTTGCCTTCTTCCCACTCCTCTTCCCATGCTAGGTTTCACTTCATTCCCAGTGGTGCAGGTGGCTGTAGGAGGTCCACCTTGGCTGAGGAGGAGAAAGCCCATTGGTAATGTTCTGCTGTTCTTCTGTAGCTAGCGATCTCAGCCTTTTTCACATCTAGGTAGGTCTTTGAAATTGGCAGGAGGACTGGAACCTTCCTCTTTCCTGAGTAATACTTTTAGGTTTCCAGCAGCTCATTCCATTTTTGGTTTCTGTGATCCATTCTTGTATAAGGCTATCTGCAAATTTGATGTAATCCACATTGTACTTCAACAAACCACAAGTCAAGGATTTCCTACTGTGAGCTTCCTATAGAAAGACAGTGCTGTGAATAAAAATACTACAAGAAATAAATAATCATGACAGGCTCCACAGAAGCAATAGAATATATCCATCTTTTAAATATAAACATCTTAAAATGTTAAAGAAGAAAGAGCAATAGAAAATACATGAACATTGAAATGAATGAATTACACTTGGTAATAAAGATAGTCTTGCCAGTTTGCATCAAGCTTTTGGTTCTCAGGACCAGCCTGCACATGCGTTAAGAGTTGCTTTGTTTATATTTTTTCTCTCTCTGCTGCATGCTATGCATCAAGTAAACATGGACAATTCCTTGAATTAGTTAGAGGAATGAACATGTTTTTCAGGCAACCTGGCAACTGTGCTAAGGGAGTGTATTTCACATTCAGTTCCTCCACTCTCCTCAAGTTGTCAGGCTAATTACCTATAAGCTGGGTATTTACACTTTGGGGCTATGGAGGGGAAAATTTTTTGGCTTACAAACACTGACACTAGTGGCTTAAATCCCAGTCATTTGAGGGACCCCTGTTGCTCTACAAATCCCTGCCCACTTTAAAAATGCTGACAGTTGTCTTGTATGTTGTATCAGAAAGAAGCACTCTGTCATTGAAGCAAAAAATCATTCTGAGCACAAGCAGAGTGTGTGTGGTTAACTCACGTCTTTCATACAAATATGTATGTATAATTATGTTTAAATATTTATGGAATAATGATCACATTTCTATGTGAGGGAGGAACAAAAATAGCAATTAGATTGCAGCTTGTCTGTGGGGCATGTGTAATGAAGCTTACCCTACCCTTCACCCCTGCCTCCAGGCTATCAGTGCAAACACTTTTTGTTCAAACTTTTGTATCATATAAAATTTTAATAATATTTTGAAAGAACAAAGGGCTGTCCCTTCTCTGGCCTTATTCCACATCCTGACCTCGTCTTTGGTAGTATTTCTTCTTTAGAGATATGTACTCTGGCATCATTTGAATTACAGAGCAGAGCAGTTCTACTAAAATGCCCAAGAATAGAATAATAAAATGTAGAGATTTTTACTTCTTAGAGACATATATAAACACTCACTTCTCCATGCCCACAGTTGAAATTATTAAATAAATGAAGAGCATTGATTTTTATTTTGTTCCTTTTAAAGGAAGTTAACAACTGCACAGAAATGTAAAGATGTATGGAGATGTAATCATAGCACAAGCCAGAATATAATGAATACTACAACAATGGTACCAGAACAGTCATAGGAGATTACAGATTAGGGGGCCTCTATTTCTAACAACAGGATAGATGAGATCATTTAAAAATTTTCCACACAATACATTGGAAAATCTGGATAAAATTATAACAAACATCTTTTTGAATGCACAGTTAATGATTCAAGAAAGTAATGTAAATTTCTAAATAGAGCAAATAAGAGAGGGATCTTGAAACCAAAAAGATGATCTCACACTACACATAAAAGTGTCCTAGGAAAATAAGTCACTCTCAGCAACCTAGAGTCTTGGATTTGAAATGGGTGCCCACGTGACAAGAGCCAAAGCCTTTGGCATGTGCAAAGTGAAAAAGTATATCCTTGTATAAAGCTAGAATTCTTCAAAAGATACACATTAGGCTGGTGCAAAAGTAATGGTGAAAACCACTATTGCTTTGTACCAATCTAATATTTAGTCAGTGAAATGTTGAATTACCAAAACAAACCCCCAAATAAAAAATAAGGATTAGGAACACAGAAGACAAGAAAATGTTTCTTCACAGGGGGTCTGGAGTTATCAATCTCCTTCAAAATTGATAACTGCAGGCTTGTTCTTGTATAGCAATTTGGGAACCTGAAGTAGAGAAATAGGTTTGCTAAGACCTTGCAGGATTTAGAGATAAAGTCCAGAAAAACATGGAGTTAGCAATAAAAAAGCAAGTTGACACGGAGGAATAAGCAACCTTGAGCTAGTTTGCTCAAGCACAGTTCGACTACAAAGAGTTCAGATATTGGACTTACTATATCTAAAACATAAATATATTTTAAATATTTAAATATATGATGCAGAGATTTTAATAACATTAGCAAGGAAAAGAGTACTATAGGTTGAGTATCCCTTATTTAAAATGCTTAAAACCAGAGTGTTTCGGATTTTGGATTTTTTTGGATAGTGAATATTTGCATGTACTTAATGAGATATCTTGGGGATGGGAGCCAAGTTTAAATACAAAATTTATTTTAAACAATTGTTTTATTTTTATTGATTTTTTTTTTTTTTTTTAGAGACAGAGTCTCACTCTGTCACCCAGGCTGGAGTACCATGTGGCATGACTATAGCTCACTGCAGCCTCAAATTCCTGGACTCAAACAATCCTCCTGCTTTGGCCTCTTGAGTATCTGAGACTACAGGCATGCACAGCCATGCCTAGATAATTTTAATTTTTTTTTTTTTTTTTTTTTTTTTTTTTAGTAAAAACAGGATCTTGCTATGTTGCCCAAGCTGGTCTCCAACTCCTGGGCTCAAGCAAAACTCCCACCTGAGCCTCCCAAAGAGCTGGGATTATAGGCATCAGCCACTGTGCCCTGCCCATTTGTGGTTTATATACACCTTATACACGTAGTCTGAAGAGAGTTTTATGTAACGTTTTTAATGATTTTGTGCCTGAAACAAAATTTAAATAGGAGTGGAATTTTCTGCTTGTGGCATTATGCTGGCACTCAAAAAGTTTTAGATTTTGAAACATTTTGAATTTTATATTTTTAGATTAGGAATGCTCAAACAGAATAAAAAAGACTGATATGTACATGCGTAAGAATCAAATTGATCTAGAAATTTTAAAAAATGTTAAAATGAATTTGCCGTTGGGTGGGATAAACAAATAAGATATAGCTAAAGAGAGAATTAATGAAGTACAATGTAAATTTAAATATATTTCCCAATATACGTCAGAGGGAGACACTAAAACACAAAAACCAAAAAAAAAAAAAAGGATTGAATGACATAAATAATAAAAGATATGGTGCAATAAATGTCTCAGTAGTTAAAAAAATAGACATTTAGAAAAGGCAATGAAAGATTTAGATTTTCAGTTTGGGAAGCAGAACAAATCCAAATAGGACAAACTAAAAGAAATGCACACAAGACATATCATATTGAAATATTATGGTAATATATGCAGACTATCAGAGACATGAGTCAAATTGCAAACAGTGAGAAAGATTATCTACAAAAGAATGGCAATTAGGCCAAGAGCTGACTAACAATAATGGAAGCCAAAAGTGGTGCAATAATAGCTTCCCAATTTACAGAATAAAATTGTCAAACTAGATTTTTATACCTAGAAAACCAAATTTCAAGAATGAAAGGGAAATTAAGACATTTTCAAGTAAATCCAAACAGAAAGTGTATCACTAATGACACTTTATAATAGATATTTCTTTGGAAGAGGAAAAATAATTCCAGAGGAAAAGTCTGAGATGCAAAAATAAGGAACAAAGAAATCTGTAAGTTTGTAGGCTTAGCTAAACAAACATAATATGCAGAATCTCAGAAGGTTAAAAAATATAAGATACCATGATAGGCAGAATAATGGACCCCCAAGGATGTCCATGTCCTAATCCTCAGAATCTGTGAATACAGTATTGTTATATGACAAATGGAAATTTATTTACTTATTTTTCTCTAAGTAGTCCCTCTTTTTTTATTTGTTTAATTAATTTTTTTAATGTTAATAGCTTTAGGGGTACAAGTGGTTTTTGGTTACATGGATGAAGTGTATAATGGTGAAGTTGGGCTTTTAGTGAACCCATCACCCAAGTAGTACACATTGTAGCCAATGGGTTATTTTTCATCCCTTAGCCCATTCCCACCCTCCCTTCTTCTGATTCTCCACTATGCATTATACTGCTCTGTATGTCTTTGCATACTCATAGCTTGGCTCCCACTTATATAAGTGAGAACATGCAGTATTTGGTTTTGTATTTCTTAGTTACTTTATTTTTATGGCTGAGTAGTATTTCATGGCACATATGCTGTATTTTTTTATCCACTATTAATGGGCGCTTAGGTTGATTTTCTCTTTGCAATTATGAATTGTGCTGCAATAAACATGTGCACTCAGGTATCTTTTTTATATAGTGACTACTTTTCCTTTTAGGTTGATACCCAGTGGTGAATTTGCTGGATCAAACAGATCTACTTTTAGTTATTGATTTTCATGGAAGTTGACCTAATTGAAATTCCCACCAGGAATGTACAAGCATTCCCTAACAAAGGGGAATTTATATTGCAGATGGAATTAAGGTTGTTGATCAGCTGGCTTTAAAATAAGGAGATTATTGTAGATTATCTCCTGGGTCCAGTATGATCCAAAAGGTTCTAAGAAGTGGAACAGAGAGACATAAAAGAGAGTCAGTTAGAGGGAGATGTGACTACAGGTGAAGTTAAAGTAAATGCAATGTGAGAAGTACTTGACCAGCAAGATGAAATAGAAATGATAAAATAAGATGGTAGAAATCATTCCAAAAAAATCAGAAATGATGATAAAATATAAATATATTTAATTCACTAGTTAAAAACTATAGATTGTCAAATTGAGTAAGAAAATCAAAATCTAGCTATTGCTTTTTTTAAGTGACATACCTAAAGTGTAAAAACATAGAAAGACTGATGGCAAAATTATAGAAAAATTATACTTAGAAAATACTTATATAGCATGTTGCTGGTATAGCTAGATTAAAAGCAGATCAAACATTTGAAAGTAAAAATAGTAGTAGTATCAAAGAGGATTACTATATGATGATAGAAAAGTACAATCTAAAGAAATATACAATCATTTCAAACTTTTACATGTCTATAACATACAGTACTTTGAAAATCCCCAAAGCAAATCTTGACAAGTTTCAAAGAGCAATTCACAAGTTAACTGTTGCACTTGAAAATTTTAATACTACTTAATGACTGGCAATTCAAGCAGGAAAATTAATAAGTAACTTGAACAACATTGTTAACAAGCTTGATATGTTAGACATACAGAAAAGCTAAACTCAAAATGAGGAAATACATATTATTCAAAAAAGTAAAAAAAAAAAAAAAAAAAAGAAGTAAAAAATAGAAATAAAAAATAAAATAAAATAAAAAAGAAAATACATATTATTCTCAATTACACATTAAACACTTATAAATTGTTACTATTTACATGCATAAATAGATTGCAATAGACATAAAAATTATATAGACTTGATTACCTTATCAACCCAAATTAGTAATCATTAACAAGAAGGTAACATAAATAAATCTATTTATTCAGAAATTAAAGTTAAATATTTATAATTTATGAGTTAAAAAGGAAATCATAATGGAACTTAGGAAAGAGATTCGTATGCTTTTTTAAACACGATATTGAAATTTGTGAGGCAGAGCTAGAGTATTAAATACTTGCATTAGGAAAGAAGAAAACTGTAATACTAATGAGATAAACATACAAATTAATTTTTTTTTTAAAATAACAGAAAAAAGCTCAGGGTATGTTGAAAGAATTAATAAACATAATAAAAGAAACTTATTTAGTATGTAACAAAAGAGAGAAACACAAACTCAAAGCTGTTTTATGGAGAAAGCTGATAAAATAGATAAAGCTTTAGTAAATATGAGGAAAAGAAATAAAGGAAAGAAAAGGCACAAATAAACTATTAAGAATAAAATATGCAACATAACTACAGAAACAGAACAAATTTACTCTTACATAATTAATACTGAAAACAACTTTGTGGCAATACATTAAAAAAAAAATTTTTTTTAATCCTAGAAAATTATAGCTTACAGAATTGATTCAAGAAGAAATAGAAGACCTAAATTAGATAATAAATCTCTAATAAATTAGATATTTATAAATTAGATAATAAATATCTAAAAAAATAGAAGAACTATAATTAATATGGCAACTGACAGTAGTTATATGGCAGAGATTATTGGATGCTTACCAATGCTATATCCTCTTCCTGGAAATACATCTGCCTTGCCATTAGATTGAAGCTACAAGTTTGGTACTGACTAGTCGGTGGAATGAGGGCAAAAAAGCTCATTATAAAGCTACCTTCCAAAATCTTTCTTAAAATCTCTGGCTTGCTTTTATTTGCAGCTGAAGGTAAAGAAATTTCATGTGGTAGATTCCTACAAAAGAAAAAGCTGAAAAGGAGCCAACCAGAAAAGGTGCTAGACAAACATTGAGTGGCTCCTGAGTGATGAATAAGAAAGAAACCTTCTGTTTGGTAAGCCATTGAAATTTGAGGAGAATTTGTAAAAGCTGTTGCTGTAAACCTCCCCACTGCAAAACACACTTCTACCAGATGTTGAAGGGCATGTCATTCCAATCTTATGTAAATTATTCCAGAGAATGGACAAAGAAGAACTATTCCTCCAACTGATTTTAGGAAGCCAAAATTACCTTAATACAAACACTAGCTGAGAACAGAATAAAAAGGTACAATACGGTTTACAAAACTGATGAAGAAATCCTAAACAAAGTATTAACAAATTGAATCCAATGAAAAAATATACTTGAATTATGTGCACACATATGAAATCATTCATCATTTAACAAATATTTTAAGCACCTGACATATGCCAAGCAGCAACATAACAACTTGAGGCATCAGAGAGCTCTGCCCTTGTAAACCTACATTCCAGCAGAAGAAAATAGGGAATCTATAAATAAGAGAGAATTCCTAGTATCAGCCTTGACCGAGGCAATCTTTTCCTTGGTGCTGCCCCCAAGTGCCTTCATTTTTAAAAAAAAAATTCTATTGTTGATGACTCATACTAAGTTTATAGTTAAAAGGAATTCCCCAACCTTTAAAAAATTATATAAACCATTATGAGGTCCAATTTACTTATTGTGATGCGTATTGAGTGTTCAAAACAGCAAAAAAGAGTAAAATAATAAATACCACATCCACCCATAGCTTATAAAATGAAACTCTGCCCATTCAGTTGGTTCTTCTGTACATTTCTCTGTGCTGTTTCTTTCTCACCACATAGGGTTACCACTAAACTACGCTGTTTTTCCATTTTTATTGCATGTTTATATGTATTTTTAAGCAATAGACGGTATTGTTTACAGGTTTTAGAACCTTATTAAATATGTTTGTGGGCAGTAACTAATTCCATTTGTTTAAAGGGTTTGGCATGAAATAGTAAATAACTCATAGCTAGTAAAACAAAAAAAATGAAGAGATAACAACTATTTACTGCTTACAAGGAACAAACAAAACAAAAAACTTTAAATGTTTAATTGAAATCACAACCATCCTTATATAATAAACATACAAGCTATGAGACTTACCAGACTGCTAAGTATTGTTGTATTGGACCGAGCATAGAAAGTTAGCACCAAGACAAAAGTATGCCAGATTGCAGGGTCATTTATTATGCTGGCGACCACAGAGGACTCACGTCTCTCCAACCTGTGGCGTCAAAAGGAGGGTGCCGAGACTTTTTATACCCGAAAAACCACTTTGGGAGTGGGAGTGAGGAGCGGGGATGGGGATGAAAAGGTTTCAGACATTCCAAAGGCTAGGGGATTCTGTGATTCACTTCCTGGGCGGAGACGAGGGCGGGGGTCTCCGGACATTCCAAGGGCCAGGGGACTTTTGTCATTCTGTTTGTTACTTCAGTGGTTTACAGAAGTCAAGATAAGCATTTGTTTACACACAGATCTTAGTTATCCTGGGCTGCTTATTTTAGTTATTACTAAATAACTAAAGCAAAGGCTAGCAATTCTGGCACAATATCACAGTATCATATAATTCATTAGGGCAAATTATATTGTTTACAACATTTCATTTTGTTGTTGTTGCTGGTGATTTCTATTGACGTATATACTTCTATACAATTTATATCCAACTATCTTCCTGTATTAATTCTATATATTGTATTATATCTGTATTATATCCAGCGATCTCTCTGTATTCTAATAATTATTTCGTAGATTATCTTGGGTTTTTCTAAGCATATAATTACATTTTCTGCAAAAACTAATAGTAATGTTTCTTTATAATTTTTATACATTTTACTTCCTGTTCTTTTATTTGAAATGGATTCTCTCTCTGTTGCTCAGGCTGGAGTGCAGTGGCATGATCTTGGCTCACTGCAACCTCCACCTCCTGGGTTCAAGCAATTCTCCTGCCTCAGCCTACCGAGTAGCTGGGACTACAGGCACCCATCACCACACCCAGCTAATTTTTTGTATTTTCAGTAGAGACAGGGTTTCACTGTGTTAGCCAGGATGGTCTCAATCTCCTGACCTCTTGATCCACCCACCTCGGCCTCCCAGAGTGCTGGGATTACAGGCGTGAGCCATCTTATTATATTCTTATTGAGTGACCATTACTTCTATTTAAATGTTTAGCAGAAGCAGTGAAAGAAGACATTCTTATTTCAGATTTTAAAAAGAACACTGCTATAATAGTTCAGTTTAAGTACTTTTGTTAGAAATTTTATCAGGTTAAGAAATGCCCTTTATTATGTTACCAAGAATTGTTCTCATACAAATTCTTTTTATTTCCACTGACTTTACAGATTTGGAAAGTGAGGCATACACAGGCTAAATAACTTGCTCAAGGTTACACCAAGCACAGAGCCAGAATGTGAAAAACTGGCCGTAGGACTGAAAACCTCTGGCTAGGACCGTGGTTATAAACTTGCTCTCCACTTTGAGCCCCTACGTGGTTAAAAACAAAGACTCAATATATGTTTACTTGGCAAATATCAGTAGGAAGTAGTTATAGCAATATAAATTTCAGACAAAGAAAAATGAAAACCAAGCATTAAAATGAGGCAGAGGGTCATTTTATGTTATCAAAAGTTATGGCTCAAAATGGTATAAATTACGAATTGTAGCATAGCATCAAACTATTAGAGAAATAAATGGAAATTAAGAGAAACAAAACTCTCTAAGAGATTTTAACACATCAACCTCAGCCTTCAACAGAATTAAAAGAATGAAGAATAAATAATGACACAAATTATTTGAACAACATAATTAATATGTTTATGTTATATATCCTTCTCTTGGACTACTAGAGTATTAACACCATTAACACCACAAATAAAATCTCAATAAATTCCCCAAATCAAAAATGATACATATATTTCTTTCCATAAAGCAATGTCTAGAAGTTAATAAATTTTTAAACAAAATCATTTGTCTAATATATTTAAAAATCGCTTTTCTAAAGAACTAATGTAGCCAGGTGTGGTGGCTCAGGCCTGTAATCCCAGCACTTTGGAAGGCTGAGGTGGGTAGAACACTTGAGCCCAGGAGTTCGAGGCCAGCCTGGCCAACATAGTGAAACTACGTCTCTACTAAAAATACAAAAATTAGCTGGGCATAGTGGTGGATGCCTGTATTCCAGCTACATGGAAGGCTGAGGCAGGAGAATCTCTTGAACCCAAGAGGCGGAGGTTGCAGTGAGCTGAGATCTCACCATCGCACTCCAGCCCGAGCAACAAGAGTGAAACTCCATCTCAAAAAAAAAAAAAAAAAAAAAAAAAAAGAACTATTGTTTCAAAAATGAAATAAAAACTATAGTTGGTCTTTCAGAAAACAATGTTTGAGAACACTAAAATGTATACACTACAGCAACATTGTAATTTGAAAATTTACAAGCATTAGTGATTTTGTTATTAAGCAATAAAGAATTAATATTTTATGAACTGAACTTTTTATTCAAAAAGTTTGAAGAATCAGCAAAGCTTAAGAGATAAGAAAAATAAATGCAAAGAAGAACAATAAATTATGGAGAAAAGCAATAGAATGTCTAGTGTTAAAAACTGGTTGTTTGACTCTCAATAAACTGGATATTGATGGAATGTATCTCAAAATAATAACTATTTATGACAAACCCACAACCAACATCATACTGAATCAGCAGAAGCTGGAAGCATTCTCTCTGAAGACTTTCAAAAGACAAGGATGCCCTCTCACCACTCCTATTCAACATAATATTGGAAGTTTTGGCCTGGCGAATCAGGCAATAGAAAGAAATAAAGTGTATTTAAATAGGAAGAGAGGAAGTCAAGTTGTCTCTGTTTGCAGATGACATGATTGTATGTTTAGAAAACCCCATCATCGCAGCCCAAAATCTCCTTACTGATAAGCAACTTCTTCAAGGTTTCAGGATACAAAATCAATGTGCAAAAATCACAAGCATTTCTATACGTCAACAATAGACAGAGAGCCAAATCATGAGTGAACTCCCATTCACAATTGCTACAAAGAAAATTAAATACCTAGGAATATAACTTATAAGGGATGTGAAGGACCTCTTCAAGGAGAACTACAAACCACTGCTTAAAGAAATAAGAGAGGACACAAACGAATGGGAAAACATTTCATGCTCAAGGATGGAAAGAATCAATATCATGAAAATGGCCATACTGCCCCAAAAATTTATAGATTCAATGCTGTCCCCATTAAGCTACCATTGACTTTCCTCACAGAATTAGAAAAAACTACTTTAAATTTAATATGGAACCAAAAAAGAGCTCATATAGCCAAGACAATCCTAAGCAAGAAGAACAGAGGTGGAGGCATCACGCTACCTGACTTCAAACTATACTACAAGTCTCCAGTAACCAAAACAGCATAGTACTGGAACCAAAACAGACATATAAACCAATGGAACAGAACGGAGGCCTCAGAAATAACATCATGCATCTACAACCATCTGATCTTTGACAAACCTGAAAAAAATAAGCATTGGGAAAAGGACTGCCTATTTAATAAATGGTGTTGGGAAAACTGGCTAGCCATGTGCAGAAAACTGAAACTGGATCCCTTCTTTATACCTTATGCAAAAATTAACTCAAAATGGATTAGAGACTTAAACATAAGACCTAAAACCGTAAAAACCCTGGAAGAGAACCTAGGCAATACCACTCAGGGCGTAGGCATGGGCAAAGACTTCCTGACTAAAACACCAAAAGCAGTGGCAACAAAAGCCAAAATTGACAAATGGGATGTAATTAAACTAAAGAGCTTCTTCACAGCAAAAGAAACTATCATCAAACTGAATAGGCAACCTACAGAGTGGGAGAAAATTTTTGCTATATATCCATCTGACAAAGGGCTAATATACAGAATCTACAAGGAGCTTAAAAAAATGTACCAGAAAAAACAACCAACCTCATCAAAAAGTGGGTGAAGGATATAAGCAGATGCTTCTCAAAAGAAGACATTTATGCAGCCAACAAACATACGAAAAAAAGTTCATCATCACTGGTCATTAGAGAAATGCAAATCAAAACTACAGTGAAATACCATCTCATGGCAGTTAGAATGGTGATCATTAAAAAGTCAGGAAACAACAGATGCTATAGAGGATGTGGAGAAATCGGAATGCTTTTGCACTGTTGATGGGAGTGTAAATTAGTTCAAGCATTGTGGAAGACAGTGTGGCAATTCCTCAAGGATCTGGAACCAGAAATATCATTTGACCCAGTAATCACATTACTTGGTATATACCCAAAGGATTTCTACTATAAAGACACATGTACACGGATGTTTATTGCAGCACTATTCACCATAGCAAAGACTTGGAACCAACACAAACGTTCATCAATGATAGACAGGATAAAGAAAATGTGGTCCATATATACCGTGGAATACTATGCAGCCATCAAAAGGAAGAGTTCATATACTTTGTAGGAACATGGATGAAGCTGGAAATCATCATTATCAGCAAAGTAACACAGGAACAGAAACCAAACACCACATGTTTTCACTTGTAAGTGGGAGTTGAACAATGAGAACAGATGGACACAGGGAGGGGAATATCACACACGGGGGCCTTTTAGGGGTGGGTGGCTAGGAGAAGGATAGCATTAAGAGAAATACTTAATGTAGATGATGGATTGATGGATGCAGCCAACCACCATGGCACGTGTATACTTATGTAACAAACCTGCACGTTCTGCAAATGTATCCCAAAACTTAAGGTATAATAAAAAAATACTGGTTGTTTGAGAAAAACATGAAATAGACAAATATCTAGAAATTATACTAAAAGGAAATATAAATTGATGAAATGAGAATCGAAAAGGCAAAAAGAGATGCAAAGTAGAAATATAAAAGACCAATAAAAGTGGAAAATATGCTCACTAGTAGGCAAAATATGGACATTAAAGTACTGTTTTCCTCTATCAATATAAGAAATGCTTATAA